CGCCTGGCAGATATAACACACATGCTCAGGATACTTAATAGCATACTCATTCTAATAACTGATAAGCCATAGGATTTTGCACTAGTATTGTCGGACTARAAAGCTAGCACCGCTACCCTTCCGAGAGTCCGTGATCAACCCCAGAAAGAACTTCACAAGTTTTGGAACATATTTCAATCTCCAATGTGGCCTATGTTTTACAAGTCTAATATTCAAACGATGAATTTTATTTATTTATTTTTGCTCTATGGGGCTACACAATGGAGGGTAGCCCATTGTGATTGTTACACATGACTTACCTATGAAGCCAATTGTGGTTATTACTCCAAGGACAATGGTTGTATAAAACTTATCTTCATGTATGACAACAACGGTAAGTAGGTTAAAGAAATACTAGTATTATAGAGAAAGTTACTAGAAGGGTAAGATGTTGAGATATATTCCTCATAGATATAATCTATCATTTTTCTACTAAAGTTTCTTTGAAATTTATATTATTTGACTTTGTAGATTTTAAGGGGTTGTAGTCTTCTATTTTGTGAAACAAGGGATGAACCTAAATACTTATTGTTTAAATTGGTTAATGCATTTAAATTAATATTATCTATTTGAGTTTGTTGATTTTAGGACAGTTTTGACTTCAACTCTTTGAATTGCTTACTTGAAGTTTATATTATTTGAGTTTGTGGATTTTAGGAGACTACATATTCCTATTTTGTAAAACATGGTATGAATTGGTATTTCAGCATTCAAATTTATATTATATTATCATTGATCTTTAACTGACTACATGATTTTATCATTGCTCTTTAATTGCTATCTTACTTTCAAATTTAAAGGTTAGATTATTTGGCTTGCATTATAATTTTTTCATTTATTCCATTAATGTGGACATTTCCTTTAATGGTTATTTTTTTCCTACTTATTTATAGGATCCAATAGGTCACTTAGCATTTATTTAATTTGCTTTCCATTATAATTAATATGATTTAACTAGTCTTTATTTCTTTTATTTAATTTAGTTTATTTTATGGTTGTTGGTTCATTACAAATATGTTGGGTCACTTAAATTGCATAGTTCCTATAAAAATATCTTTTTTAGTTTCTACTAATTTGTATAATTTGATTGACTCCACAAAAGTTGTGTTTTTCTTATATTTTGAAGATGAAATAAGAAACCAATTATGAAAAAATAATGCATGCCTGTGCTCATTAATTCTTATACAAGTTGTTATACCCACGCACATATAGATGGGTCATAGCATTGCCAATGAAGTTGGAGATCACATTTGGTGTTATAGATGCATTATTGACATAAAATAGATTTTGGTGATGGAGTTAGGTTTGAACCCATTTATTTATTTATTGCCTCTTTGCCTTGATATCTAATTTAATAGGACTTCATTTAGAATACTTGCATTATGTGTAAGGGGTTGTTTGATTACAACTAATGTAGTTGAATTGATGAATGGCTTAAGAATTTTTTGTTTAGTAATTAAGTCCAGGAGGTTACAAGCTCATTCATGGGTGAAGCTGAGGTGGCATTGATTAATAATTCCTATACCCTTAGACTTTTTATTATTTGGTAATTTTATCCATACAAATCAATAAGTCATTTAGTTCATCCATTTCAGTTCCTCTGTCTGTGTGTGTGAAAGTGAAGTAATGCATATTGTATTCAAAAGGCAAAAAGTCTCTATACAATAGAGTGCTACACACTAGGTGTATACATTCCATTCCACCATGCGATCAATCCATGATAAGTTTATAGAAAATAAACTACAATTAATGAAAAGAATTAATCAGTCTGTATTTAAATAGCATGTTAGTTGTCAACTATTACTTAATTGAACTGATAAATAATCTTTTTTTTCTTTTTACCCCAAAATTTTAGCTATATGAGAGTTTTATTTGCTTTTTGCTATCTATTTTCTAGGTCATTATTTTCCACATTTATGATGATGTTTCTTATGGCCAATTTTATAGGTGCCTGCTATCAATTCTGAATTATATGAGCTCGAAAGATCATATTTTATCAAAGGTGTGTTTTTGTGATCTCAATCCATAGTCAATTTCTTTTGTAGTTTTCAAATATTTGGTCCTTAGGCATGTATTAGGACTTTGTGTTGTTGGTGTTGGTATCCCATGGTGTGCTTTGGATGGTTTAGATGCTAGAAACCAAACCAAATGAACGTTTTAATGATTGCCTTAGCACCACTTGTCAACATTTATTATGGAATGGTTACTTGATGGACACCCATTAGACAACAAATAGTGATGTGTTTGTGTTTTGCATGCATTGATAGTTAAAAAGGTGTGGCAACATAATTACGTTGGTTAAAGAGATAGCTTTCCAAAATCAAGTATGCTTCAAACCAGTATAGAGGTGGTTTGATAATGACTGAAATAGCTGAACTAATTTCTGTTGAAAACAAATAAGAAAAGTATATATTTTTAAATTTGACCAAAGATAAACTAAGAAAAGGATCTCAAATTTTGTTAAACAAAATGCTTCAAATATCAGATATGAAATTTATTTGGGTACTTCAAGACTTGTACAATTATATGTTGGATTGAGGAAGCAATATTTGCCAAAATCATGGCATCATCACAAGGCAACAGTTGAAGATGTACTCAAGGTATCTAAACTCCAAGAGATTCCTTGTAGGGGGTAGCCCATCCCCCAAATCTACTTTGAGGTGACACTTTTTTCATCTTTCATTTATTTGAGTTATTTGTTCTAGTTGGAGAGTGGAATACAACAATAATAATCTGAATATTTTGCTTGCAGTGACACCGATAAAAAAATCATATAGTTAGGGATTGCCGTCTAATGGATTCTTAATCAAAATATTTAGTATAGATTAATCAACTAAAAATATGTTTAGAAGATTTAACTATCTTGCTTGCTTTGTTGACAACCTTTTCTTTATTGAATATGACTATTGTTTTGAAATGCAATTGATTTTTTTAATGGACTCCCTTCTCATTCAAGATCTCCTTTTATGATTGTCCTGAATAAAAACTCACTAGCTGAGAAATAGCTACAATGTTATTTTGACAAGTACTAGATTGACACATTTTAAAAGTTTGGATACTAAATCATCACATTTTAAGGTTTGGGGACCAAAGTGGCACTAGGCCCAAAGAAGTCAAACCATATTGCTATAAATGAATACTAAAAATACTAGCGTTTTCAGCCCACCTAAGTGACGTAGAAAAAAACTATTTGAGTCAAATAAATCAAATCATATTGCTATAAATAAATACTAAAAATTTTAAAATATATAAAATATTAGTGTTTTCAACCCGTCAGTTGAATCGTTTAAACCATTATGCAATTAAGATTTCAGGTCTGGTTTGTAAGAAACCCACCATTTGGTCAAAAAACCATTCGACTCGAGTGGTTCAACCATTGACTCATTCAGCCTAGTCATAATAAAAAATGAGAATGGTACAATTGGTTTGGTCAAAACACTCTAACTTTACTTTCCAACTTTACCCTCAACTTTCTATTTTTCCCATTATATATATGTTATTGCAAAATAATTATGAAAAAACACATAAATTGAAGAAAATAATATAAAATATAAAAAATAAAGAAATACATAGAAAAATTACAAAAAAAATATAGAAAATCATAAAAATTGAAGAAAATAACATGAATTACAAATCTATACCCGATATATAAAAGCATAGTCAAACATCACCATCAATATCAAAAATCCTACGTATCGCACGGGCCATTCCACTAGTAATCCATTAAAAAAAACATATAGTCATGACAATCATTTTAGTAACCTATCCACACTCTTCTAGACATAATTCTGATCAGTAAAACTGTTGTACCTAGAATACTGACAAAACTAAATATGTAAATATAGCAAAGAAGCCCCATCCACTAGAAAGATAGATCCCAAAAGCTAAGCTCTTAGAAGTTGGAGTATTGGTGGACTTGCTCGAGGAAGAACCGTCAGATGCAGTTGCTGGTGAATTTGTAATAGGGGCAATTGCCTTACTGCAGATGCTTATATCAACATTGGCTCCACATGCTTTTGGAAGCTCCAGTAAATCACTCTAGCTTATGTTGAGATTCTTTAAAAGGTCAACGTCATTGAAGACAAAGCACAAACAATTCGGGTCATCCTTAATCGTCTCTTTCAACAGAATACAACATGACGACAGTGGTGACACTGGAGGATTTTATTTCTTCAACACAACGGATCCAACAGGAAAACTGCTTTCCGTAGCCATTATTCTTTCTTTTTCTTCAAAAGTATTAATACATGTTTATATATCGGTAAAAATGTATTGAGACAACCTTACACATTTTATTTGTTACTTTTTTAATTATATATTTTATTTAATAGATATAATAAAAGATTTCCTTAAAACACCATATAAACAATTATATTAGAACATTTACGATATTATTCGATTCACTCGGGTGTGTCATGATAATATTTTAAACCTTGAAAATTTGAAAGATAAAATATGTCATGGTGTATTGGATATGGTTAACGCTTACTTATTTATCGATTTGGTTTGATAATAATCGAAATTAGATTTCATAAGAAATACATGACTTATGAAGAATGTTGACCTTGTGTAAAGATAGATAAGGTTTGAGATTTTTAAATTCCTTATGTTCTTTTACCAATTGAAATGAGATTCTCATTTTTAATGTGAAATGTTGAAATCTATGCAACTAGACAATATAAATAAAAAAAAAGTAAATGTATTTAGTTGTGATTAATATAAATATGAATTCTAAAATTATAATTTAATTTTTACTTTAACCAAAATTAAATTTTTAAGACAAATATTATGATAAAATTAATGTAACTATAAGCCACGCGTCCTTATAAAATTAACAAATGACTCACTTATAATATCAATTTTATTAAAACAACAGGTTAACTTATATCCGTTTGTGAAATGAAATCTTTTCATTTGCAAAATAGAATGTTCATGAACCTATTACAGTAGAACTACTGTACCTAGAATACTAACAAAACTAAAGATGTAAATATAGCAAAGAAGCCCCATGCACCAGAAAGATAGATCCCAAAAGCTAAGCTCTTAGAAGCTGGAATATTGGTGGACTTGCTCGAGGAAGAACCGTTAGATGCAGTTGCTGGTGAGTTTGTGATAGGGGCAACTGCCTTACTGCAAATGCTTATATCAACATTGGCTCCACATGCTTTTGGAAGCTCCAGTAAATCACTCTGGCTTACGTTGAGACTCTTTAAAAGGTCGACGTCGTTGAAGATAGAGCACAAACAATTCGGGTCATCCTTAATCATCTCCTTCAATGGAACACAACATGACGACGGTGGTGACACTGGAGGCTTCAAGTATGATTCACAGGGGAGGAGCTTCTCCAAGCAATCCATTGGAACGTTAAAACGATTTCCTCCAAGTTTTTGAGAGAAACCCACCAAGACCAATGAAGAAGATAATAGTAGAATTAACGACAATGAGAGCTTTGATTGATTGGCTTCCATGAAAACAAACCGTCAAACACTTGGAGAAGATTGAAATTGAGGATGGGAGAGGGGAGAAAAAAGAAACACAATGAGGGTTTCAAACTGTTGTTCTTCTTTTAAAGAGGAAGATGGTTAGGATGGTTATAGGTTTTCTATATACGGGAAGGAATCTGGTGCGAGTTTTAAGTTATGATCCAACAAGAAAACTGCTTTCCGTAGCCGTTATTCTCTCTTTTTCTTCAAAAGTATTAATACATGTTTATGTATCGGTAAAGATGTATTGATACAACCTTACACATTTTATTTAATAGATATAATAAAAGATTTCCTTAAAACACCTTATAAACAATTATATTAGAACATTTACGATATTATACTTTCCCAATAACCTAAATAATCTCTTATCCACTAAAATTTATTCTAAACTACCTCCCTCACTTTCTCCAAAACTATCTCTAATTCCAATTTATTTCCACAATTATCTCTAATTTAGTAGAGAGTTTCTCTCCTAAATTATCTCTAATTCTTATTTATCCTCTCCCCTACTTTTTATCTATATCTATCTAAAGAAAGTATGGATTAAAAAATTTAAGAAATATTTAAATATTCTAACAAAATTATATAATAAAATTAAAATATTTATTAAAAACACAAAAAATAATTTTATATTTTAAAAAATATATAATGAAATTATGTACGGACAATTTAAATTATGCTTTTCGGATTATCAAATTAAATGCTTTTCAAATATTTAATAATATATAATAGCCACAAATAAATAAATTCAAATAACAAAAAAAATTAAATATTTCATAAAATATATAAATATTTAAATAACTAACAATTTACCATAATTATATTTTAAATAGTTAAATAACGAAATTATCTAATAAATAATTTTATATTTTTATGAAATATATCACGAAATTATTTACTAACAATTTAAATTATATTTTTCTAGATCCAAAATTTCAATGTTTTTCAAACATTTAACAATATGTAAAAGCTTTAAATAAACAAAATTAAAATAACTAAAGATTTTAAATATTTTATAAATTATTTAAATATTTGAATAACTAGATATTTATCATAACTAGATTTTAAATAGATAAAATAACGAAATTATTTAATAAATTCAAAAATTTTCTTTAAAGTAGAAAAATAATTATAACATAATAATTAAGTATTTAAATATTTTACATATTATTTAATTATTTAAATAACTGGGTATTTTAAATAACAAAATATTTAACATAATTAGATTTTAAACAGTTAAAATAAAGAAATTATGTAATAAATTTAAAAATTTTATGAAAAGTATAGAAAAATAATTTTAACATAATATTGAAATTAATAATAATTTAATATTTTTACATAATATTTTAAATAACTAATTTCCCTTATATCAAATAATAATTCAAGAAAATAAATTCAAAAAAAATAATATTTATTAATAATAATTTTAAACTCTTCATCTGTATTTATTATATAATTATATATACTAAAATTAATATTTATTGTATTTCAGTAATTATTTATTATTTTTGTGATAAATGTATTTTCAATGATTATGTATAAATTTATTTTCCTTCGTTATTTAATAGAAATCTTTCAATAATTATTGGAGATTAAACTACTATTAGTGAAATTTTTAAGTTTAATTTATTGTATTTTTGTTATAACTTGTTGATTAATATTTATTAGAGATTAAACTTTTATTTGAGATTATACTATTTATTGACTAAGTTAATATATTTTTAGCACTTAATGTATCTTTGTATTATTATATTTTTTTGGTTATTAATATATTTTCAATAATTGTGTATTTTTGCTATAAATTTTCAATAATTATTGGATACTAAACAATTATTAATTATCATAGAAGAGACTATTAATTTAGCTAGAATTATGAGTGTTAATGAGTTGGTTCGGTTTGGTCGTAGGCTTTTTAGCCAACCAAAATGACTTGGTCGGGTTGGGGAGTTGGTCAGCTGAAATCGACCGACCTTTTGTGAAAACCGACCCACTCAAGTTGTATCGGTTTGGGTCGATTTTTTTATTTGGTCAGTTGGTTCAAACAATTTAAAACTTAAAAATTTAATTTAATTTTAAAAATTATCGTGCAATTATTAAAAAGTAAATTAAGAAATAAGACTTATGATATAAAACATTTTTTACTAAGAAATATGATAATTTTTCCACTTTTCAATACTAAAAATTATATTTAAAATATAAAATATTAATATATATTCATGGTTAGGTCATTCGATTTTGGTTGGTTTACAAATGGCCAAAGTGAAATTGATCCAACTTGGTCGAATTGGTAAATTTTTTAACCAAAGTTGACCTAAAATACTATAAAATCGACCAAGTCGGGTCGAGTTGATCGGGTTGGCCGGTTTCATCAGTTTGATGAATAAACCTAACTGAAATTAATTATTGTTATTTTTGTATTGTAAAAACTTATTAAAAGTAGTATATAAAATATGAATAATTATTAATTATTTAAAAATATGAAAATATAAAACAATTGTATACTCTTATGTGATTCTATTAGGGTCATTTACTAGAACATATCTTATAGTTTTACATAATTACTTCAACCTACCTCATAGTTTTCATTTTATTAAAACATCCCATGTATTTTATAACTTATTTACTTAATCAACATTTCATCAAGGAGTGTTTGTTTTACCATTAGGCCCATGATTTTTTATTTCAAAAATACCCCTAACACTTTTTTTTGTACAAAAAACAAAATTAACCAAATATAACCAATAGAGTGGTTACCCATGTCTTATAAAGGGCAAAAATGGTATCTTATTTTTATTATCTTTTGATTACATTTATTTAAATGAACATTAGGGTCAATACTATCATCTAATGGAAGATTGATTAAATCCATTGCAAATTATAAGTGGTGTTTTAGTAAAATTTTAACTATAGGGTAGATTTTAGTAAATCCATAAATTCCGTGCATCGCACAGAACCCCACTAGTATTTAATAAAATAATTCAATGAAAACACACTTGTCATTTATATAAATATACTAAATAATTAAATAAAAAATTATAATTATAATTATATTAAAAATTAAAATCATAAAATCTAAAATAAAGTGTTAATTATTTAAAAACATTTATATAATTTAAAAATTATAGATATTATTTATATAAATGAATAAATATTATTTAGAAAATAATAAAAAAATCAAAATGAAAATTATGAAAAGCTAAAATAAAGTGATATAAACCCATAATTATAACAATGAAAAAAGCATATATATATAATATAATAAAATAATTCAGTGAAATCAAGTTTATCATTAATACAAATTGTTTATATATGTAATTTGTTTATGCATATATAAATTTTACATATTGTTCATGCATAATAAGATAAATCTTATTTATATATCATCGTTATCAAAGTGTAAATAGACATGGTGAGAAAATTTTTGTATTAAAATGGCACTAAAAAAGCAACATGGAGAAGGTAGGAGGCTCATCACAACCATCATTGAATAAAAGCCAAAGTATAATAGCACGATAATCCTCCGTGAAAGAGTTGTTAAGTAAATTTAGCTTTTCCAAGAAACAATCAAGATTAGAATGACAATCTCTAAGTGTTGAGGAAGTTAATCCATATATGTACAAACGTCAAGATGCGGGGCAGAATAAATTAAGGTTGCGTTTGGAAGGAGTGTAAATACAAAATTGCAAGGTGTATTTTTACATTCCACTGGTTTAAAAAAAGTGAAACCGGTTTGTTTTTGCATGTCTAATTTACACTTTTTATGTTTGGCACGAAGATGTAAAATATACGGTGTACTTTTGCTACCATTTGGTAGAATACACCAATGTAAAACATAATCAAGCACTGTAGATGCAGATACATTGTGCCAAAAATACAACCTGTGGTGTCGACAACGTGTATGCTACCAATTAAATGTATAGTCCATAAAAATTCGTGTCTATAACTTAATTAGCCATGAGGCTATAATGTACAGTCCAGAAACATTCTAGCCTCCTTATATAATTTAAATTGACAACGTGTATGCTATCCTCATTAACTTAGACGCAGGAATTTGATTGGGGATATTTTACAAGAAAAATAATTTGAGGCTAGGCTTCAGATACCAAATATCTACAACTTCTGGACACTTGTAATCAAGTCCATAAATGCTACCATTTCTGACTAGCCTTAGAAAAATAATCAAGTCGTCTACCATTTATCCATACTTTGAAATCAAGTCCAAAATAATCAAGAAAAACATCTATGAAATACCAATATATAAAAAAGTCCAAATGATCTGCAACAGCCAATAGTTGGGTTAAATGATCAAGTCCGATAGTTGGGTTAAATGATCTGCAACAACCAAGTAGATGCAGTAGCTAAACAAGGAGCAGATTGGACAAGCTACCTCACCAAACAAAGTTTTTCTGATCAACCCTCAGAGTAATGGGGTCACCTCATACCCTGCTCTATTGTACCTTCCAATCACATTTCTCACCAGCAACAGATATAATGATTTAGCTGTAAATTTTCCATCAGAACATTCTTTCTGACATTCATTGGGCATGCTATTCTTAACTTTGGATACTTCCTTTTATGTAAAGCAATTCATTCCTCAACTTCTCAATCCAGCAAGGGACATCTATATTTTGGACAGAACACTACTTGATCATCTATTTTCTCAAAAAATTAACTTTTACCTCTTTATAACTTACTCCATACACTAGAGCATAAATAACGTAATATCATAAGCTGCATAGACTAAATGATACTTTGAAGATTAGATGGGAATCTCTGTGGGATGATCTAAATGATGAGAAGGGATTCCATCTTGTAGCATGGAAAAGGATATCTTGCTCTAAAGAAGGGGCATGGCCGCACGGGAGTGGATT